CCGGAGGCGACGGTGGAGTGGTTCAAGGGCGGAGAACCGATCGATTTTATGGAGCATCCGCGAGTGAACATCTCGACAAGGAACACAATAGTGAGTACCAACATGTCTTGATAATATATTTGGAAATTTTGGTCATTTAATCTGGACCTATCACATGCAGTGTAGCCAATCGGCTGAATTAATAGATTGTGGCACAGTAATAGCTAACTTCATGTGAGTGTAACCTTTTTCATCATCTCTTTCTGAAGAAGTATTCGATTTGCCTGGAAATCGATAGCCCATGGGAGCATACATGCGACTTACTTACTTACTTACGGAAGTGCAATATGCGAGTACAATACAATATACGAGACCTTTCACGAAAAGATTGACAAACCTGTAAAGCCAAAACCCTTGGCATCAAACTTTCAGGATTTCAAAGCCGTAGGAATACCACCGTCCTTGGAAGGAATTCCCCGAAGATTTGTGCTTTATAATGTAAACATGGATAAATATTAAAAAATTAACTACAGCTAACATTCCTGAAAAAGGGTCATCACAAGTAAGCATTTTAGGACTTACTGTATCAGTGAAAAAATCGTTAGCAAATTTACTATTTTAATGTTATGAACATTGTCCTCTTGCATTGGTATGCATAGCGGTAATTCAGAGTACCCTTTAGTTTATGGCAGTCTGTTCATTTCAATGAATAAGCGAGAAATTTGATGGAAACCTCCTTTAGCGCCATCTACATGCTCCATGCACATACACGGACTCATAGCCTGATCGGTGCTTGCGAAAAGCCAAGTTTAGTCTTTTTTGACTCAGCGCAACAATTGTCATTACGGAAGTAGGGGGAACCTTGAAGAAGGTTTAGTTTTCTTGCAGACCATTGTGGTCCATTGAGCATAAGTAAAGGCATGTTTCTCTCCGTCATATTTCGCCATACAGTCCCTTGAGCAGTCTCGAAAACGCGCACTAAAAACTCAGATGGTAGTCCTTCTGTGTGAGTTCAGAATCAGCGGCACCATTTGCCCCACTTCTTTTACAGAATGCCGTGATGCAGCCAATAGAAGTGTGGCTGGATATATTTTTTGGCCTTACGCTTATTCGACCCTGCGGTTTCATAAAAATCTAATTACTTTCCCGTAAAGGCTGCTGATATGGGCTTTTTAACAAAGGCAAGGGCGAAGGGAATCTTCAGTCCTGATTTATTAGCTGTCATCGGTCAGCCATATCCCACCGCAGATGCTATAGCCACTAAGGCTCCAACTCACGATCTGCTGGTTAGAAGTCCAAAGTCGTAACTATTAAGTTACTGGCTGGTAATCCGATCGGTTGCGATGAGGTAAAAATAATATTGGTAGTCAGGCGCTCACCAATAACATTACGGGACATACTTGGCGCGCAAGGCGCCTATTGACCAATGAGCTTTTTAACGTTGGCCACTACTGTCTCATAAAGGAGTCCATACAAACATGCGGCATTTATTTGTGGTATGTATTAACGCCTTACACCTGAAGGATTGGACAAAAGTATATCTTTTGTTAAATACTTCAAATTTTGACAGAAATTACTTCCAGACAAGGACAAAAGCAGGTTAAGCATCCCAGGCGTCCACAAAACACTCAAATTTTGGTCCTCACGTTTCATGTAATGTGCAATTTAATGTAGAATCATCTGTCCGGGTATACTCCTGGTTGGGAGTCAACAAGCGGGCATGTCGACTGCAGAGTGCATTATCTTACTGTTCAGCATCAGTAGGAGTCCATTACTCGAAGGGCAGTGAGGTTAAAATAATAACTTCATGGCCTTTTTGTTGTTTCTGATCGCGTGTCAAAAATAAAAGTCCTTCGGTGGAGTCGGAGTTGCGGCATTTGGTCGTAGGTGTGCAACGCGCGATATGCAGGGAATAATCGATGTGTCGTCCTACGGAGTTACGAGCAGAGGCTCTTGCTCATGGATTTGAATTTTTGTAGCTTTCCTTCAGGATAATGGAAATGAATAGAGATGGCAACTCGCCCCCATCCCCTCCCCGCAAAATAGCTTGTTTGTATTCGTGTATAAGTGAACTGAATCGTGGTGCAGTCTTACCTACTTGATGGTAGGAGCATTTGAGGCATGGGCTGTGGAAAATCGCACAAAACTACATACCCGTATAATGCTGCTCATTCATTCGCGTGTCGCCTTCACACAAACTAACTTCTGGGTGGTTGTTGTTACCCGTGCCAAAGGTTATGGCAACGCGTTCTGTCACCTCGTATACATGTATAAAAGAATATAGGGGTCTCAGTGTGTTGATGGTTCCTTCCTGTTTTTCCACTGAAGACACAGTTGTAAGCCCGTGCCTAAGGCAGTTTCGTTGGCAGTTGTTCCTTGTGAATTGGTCCTAGGATTGAAGGAATCGTTGCATCCGTTCTTCTAGGCTGCTTCAATAATTTTCAACTGATTTTTGCATTAAGTTTTTTTGGTCGTCTTTTGACAGCATATTCGCGACAACTTTAAATGAGAAACTCGAGATCCCAGCGATGTAACTTGCTTTTAATTTGAAAGCTATATTAAAGACTTTATGCGGTAGTCACCATTATTTGAGCATAATGTGCCCGGACCAGAGAAGAAAGCAGGGTTTTTGACGTTCAAGCTATACAAATATGCATGTAATTTCTGCCTTCTGTTGTAGCTCTTCTTGGGCAACGCACAACCCGAGGATGCGGGTACCTACAGGTGTGTCGTGACGAACAAAGTCGGCAGTACAAGACGTCAGTGGAGCGTAGCCATTATGAGTAAGTGTCTCTGTGATGTTACTTGTGCTTTACCTATATCTATATCTTTGACCAATTGATGACGGATCATAAGTCAGAAGTGACCATTCCAGTCTCCCCTGCCTTTGTCGGTAATGTTTTTCTGTCGCTACTACTAGCCGCTCTGTGGCTGCTGGTGGGGCTCTAGAGTGAGCTCCAAGAGAGAATGGGACGAAATACAACAATACATAGAATCGGATTTATTTTAAACCACTCATTACAGGTGACAGCTTAGTAGCCATATCCGTATCCGTACTCCTTCTCCTCGTGGCATTCGCTGCCCTTGCAGACGGTGGCGCAGTGGCCGTCCTTGCAGTCGTAGCCCTCAACCTCACCGTTGTTGCAGTGCTCAGACGTGCAGCCCGAGAAGTCTACACGACCACCGAATTGCACGTGACCCTTGTACTGGCTCTGGCCCTTGGAGCCGCCCTTCTCGAAACGTTTGCCGTGGCCCTCCTGTTCGCCCCAGCTCTCAGCACTCTTCTGGGAGTAGGCGTGGGTTTCGTAGCAGCCCTTGGAGTAGCAGATGTGCGAGCAGTGGCCGGCATGGCATCCGTAGCCGTAGAAACCGTCCTTGTGGCAGGTCTCCTCATAGCAGCCATCGAAGTAGATGTCACCCTGGAAGGCGGCCTTTCCGGAGAAGTGGTCGTCGGAGCCGTAGTGGGCGGCGGCCAGAGCGAAGAGGGCACAGAGGACAAGGAATTTCATGTCTGCGGTGGTGAAGTTGTTTGAGTTGGGTTCTCTTCGATGCCACTTTTATAGTCTTCGAGATCGGGTGACCTGTACTGCACCCGCCAAACTAATCGATATTTAAGCATTTTGCAGATTAACTTCGCAGTTGCACTTTTATTGAACTGGACCGATATTTTTCGCTGTCTATTCTGCAGTTTAATGCAGCGCGCTATGGCACTGCATTTTATGGTCTTGGGTAATCTGACCGATATTCTTCAACGACCGTTTGGTTTTCGCTGGTCATTTAAAATAATGAAACTGCTTTCACACCGATATATCTGTGCTTTACAACCAATCAACCTATTTTGAATTCTCCCGTAAAAGTCGACAGCTTAAAATGTGTACTTTGTTCCTGCCAAGTAGCGTGGAATTTCTCGGGCAATATCTGTAACCTTTGTTGGCCTATCCAGACCTACGTAAATAACTGACTAAGTAAGACGTCAGCATCATAGTTTTTGCCAGATAAAGTTTGCCGAATGTATTTAAGGTCTCAGTCATGGTTAAAAACCTCGGAGGTTAGGGCTGTATTTTCATGGAGAAATTATGCTTAGTAGGAGGGCAAACACGTAGAACCTTTCCAGTGTTCGTTTTTGTCGGCACTTAAGTCACCCCGCAGGATTATTATATGTTTCATGTCCTGACTGAGAGACGGTCTGTTTTCCACATAGATCATAGATCTCGGTTCACTTCAAGGTTTTCAATAATTACTTTTAGATATGATGGATGACTCATCCACCTACGCTTAGCTGAACTTTTAGGTATTCCTCGCTTTTCAACTTTAGGCCATTGGCGAAATGACCCACAACACGCGCAGTGATTGCATCCATTAAAGTTCATTTGCTCTTCCTTAGCATCCTCTTTTATCCCCTGCCAACAATTTCTGGCCATCCAGAGAGCACAATCTCCGTTTTTGAGGTCGGCAGTTTGAATGCCGTATGCGACAGTTGTGCGCTCATAATGGGACGAAAGCTAGGGAATGTTGATGAGTGGCAGTAGGTAAGATGCACGGATAGTCCGCCAATGTGTGTGTATGTGGGAAAGGGTTGTGGAGTTCAAAGGATATCAGATGAACCACACATAAAAAGGCCGGCCCGTTCAAGGACCTAAGTCAGAGGGCAGTGAGAGACGATTTATTCTGTACATAGGGCAAGTTGGCAGTTTGTTTATAATTCAATGTAAGAAGGCCGCTCGACAGCCGGTTGTAGATTTGTTTACGCGGCGATTTTATGCATTCACCAGCTTGGGCAAGTGATCAGCTTGTTATTGAGCATGTGATTAATTGTTACCTGGGACATGTCCCCGATTGACGAGAGATCGAGGGGGACAAATCATGCCACCCAACATGTCAGCCAGTGATGCCTGTTCGTGGTCGCTGTCGCGGTTGCTACAGAGTAATTCTACCCAACAATAATTGATTGGGGACGAATGCGCGCTTCAGACGGCAGAAGCGTTAGTAGCAGTGGAAAGACGAGTTTCAAGAAGGAGTGAGAGAAAGATGATATGATCGTTGGAACAAGAATTTTATACGTTTGTCGTTTCGGATTCTCAGCCGAACGCCTCATCAGAGGCAGCAACAGACTGGTGTAATGGACGCATATGAGTCCAATAATCATTGAATGAAGTTGCCATTTAAACGTCGATCTGAAATATCGGGCGAAAGAGTTGCTTTTTCCAGCGCTCGTGTATACTTTTATTTCATTTATTATTTGATAGGTTGGTATCGAGGATTCTTTAAACAGCATCTTACAACCGTCCCAAAACTGCGTCAAATTGGGCATTCTGGCCTTTTTACTTTCAAGCGTTCCGAACAACATTCGATAAGCCATAAGCCAGTTGCTCAGTTATAACTCGCACGTCTTTTTTCCTCAGAAAAGAACTGCACTAAACTGACAATACGTAGTTGGTGAAGATAGGCGTGAATACAGGATCTGGAAATAAAATTTAAATTGTTTAGATTGAGCCTCTTACACCTTTTCCGTAACTTCTTCACTCCAAATTCCCTTCAGTGAGACCAACGATAACTCGACCTGCTAACACCGAGGTGTCTGGACAACAGGGCGCCATGCTACAGCTCAACTGCGAGGTCAGTGAGGGCATCCCTAAACCAGTCGTTACCTGGGAACACCACGGAGTCTCCTTCAGCAAAACAAAGAGCTTCTACACCACCACAGATTCTGGTCTCCTCATTTTTAATTCCTTGAAGTAAGTCCTCAGATAGCTGACTCATTGCTGGGCGGTCGCTGGAAGGCGATTCCCGGCCCCACATGCTTTTTATCTTATTGCTGAAGCACGCCTTTCATCTAAGGTATTTGGT